AAATGTATGCCCGATGTATGTACAATTAGTTTTAAGCTCGCACTCTAGTAAATCTTGAGAAAATGAAAAATAAAGTATAGCGTGGGTGAGGTAATGGATCGCTGGCCAGCTCAGTCCTAGCATATAAAATTCGAGTCGGAACATGCCCCGACATGCATTCAGCGACAGGCGCTCCTACCCTAAGGAACAGGAAGAAACAACCAAGCGGTTCACTCTGGACCTGAAGCCTCCTCTCACCGGCCATCCATTATCAGCGCCCACCGATTTCTTCAATACCGAACACCAGGGGTTTTATTCGCCGAAACTACAGTCCACTACAGTCAAGACTCCTGCGTGTAACTTCCTCCACCCCCTCAGTACGAGTCGGTAACTGTCCGCTACTGCGACAGCCCGGCGTCCCGTACACTTATTATACTATGTCATTTATCAAATATTTAAAAAGTTACAACGACGACAAAGTGATGACGCGTTGTACTATGTAAAAGAAAAAAAAATGGGGTATTCGCAGTATCTGATCCTATACGAAGCACTAACAATAAAACTGTGATACAGTTCCTTCTTATTAAATGATGAAAAATATATTATCATAATAGGTATTTATGATTATTGAATTTTAATGAAAAACTCAGAATTTTACTGTTTTTCATTTTTTTTAACGATATTACTTAAGGTTACAAAAAAGGTTTACTTAATATAATGACAAATAACCCATTTTTCGCTAGTAAGTACATACTTATTGGAATCGCTGTATTTATTAATCAGCTCGCGATAATATTGGTTTTGTAATAATTCTGCAAAATTCAAAGTAAATAATGTAGATTTTTATAGGTAAATCACCCCTTTCATCACCCTACGCCTATAAGTATTGCGATGTTGTAGCTAAGAACCAAGTTCCCATCTACTTCTATATGAGAATTCATTATATTCGATTTAGCTATTAGGGCACGGAAGCGCAGCAACAAACAAACTCACTTTCGCATCTATAATATTATATTATACTTACTAGTGATCCACCCGGGCATTGTACGGGCGAAATTTATTTATCGGGATAAAATATAGCCTATGGCACTCGGACAAAATGTATTTAAATAAAGAAAAATGTTATAATAAATAATGTAGCTACCTTATGATGAATTAATATTTGAAACCGGTTCAGTGGTTTGACAGATTCTTTGTTACAAACATACAAATCTTGCCTCTTTATAATATTAGTATAGATAGTTAGGATAAGATAAGTATTTAATTGCTGAAAAAGATTTTAAAATAAAGTAAGTAATAGGTTTATTTTATTATATTTGTAAAAGTTACTTAGCATTTGTGCTTAACAGTGATTTTTATAACAAAAAAAAATTTGGAAAATAATTGCCATGATTGCACTACTGGGAGTGCTCTTCATTCGAGCTTTACACTACCAATAACCTAACGTTATGAAAATTTTATTATGCGCCTTTAGTTTAATCAAATATTATAAACTTTGCTTTGGTGATTATAATTATTTAATTTAGTGATCTAAGGCAGTTGCCACCATTGTCCAAAACAACAGACGGGAATTACTTCTTTCTTCAACCTGCGACATAAACGTCATTGATTGGTATTGTATATAGGGTGATTAAAAACATTTGAAGTTAACTTCTGGCATCTACATATTGGGTATCTGTGAATTATGTAGGTATATCAAATTATGAGACTAGGGACTGACACTGAATTTGTGTATATCACAATCTTAGACGTCCGGCATTGACATGACAATGCAGCCACTGCCAATTTTAAATAGTCGACGAATAAAAATAAATGAATTTTATATTTACTGCTAAACAATTAAAAAAAAAACCTAAACAAAAGATGACTTTTTGAGTAAGTGCTAGTTTACTATAAAATTTACATACATAAGAGATATTTATGTAACGACTTGATTTAACTTCACACATTTTTGCGAAAATTGAGGCCCATCTGTAGCCTTGACCCCGCTGGTAAAGTCTTTATATGTCTTAATAAATCAATCTTTTAGACCGACGCAAGGTACTTAATAATTCCCGCGATATTAATTCCCTTACTGAAGTAACAAGACTACGGTATATACCGTCTTAAAATACTAACTAAAAAGTGTGAAATAAAAAAGGTAAATTTAAAAAATCAAAAAACCCGACTGCTTAATTATTCTTCAAATAAAAACTGAAAAGAAAAAAACAAGTCCAGTAGGCTATAATTCTGTTAATAAGGAACAAAGCTACTTTAACAGTCGGGACCCATTGTTGAAAAATATTATGTATTCTTGAATATCTAATATCAGATATCAGAATTATAGCCTACTGGACTTGTTTTTTTCTTTTCAGTTTTTATTTGAAGAATAATTAAGCAGTCGGGTTTTTTGATTTTTTAAGTTTACCTTTTTTTTTTTACAAATATTTAGAGAGAGACCGGTGCTTTTTAATGATATCATCTCTTGAACATGGGTGACTGTGATTATTAATAATATGCAACACTGCATATTATTAATAATCACAGTCACCCATCTCAAACCCAACCAATCATAAACAATCTGCATATTATTAATAATCTTCGGTACGTGGCGCCTGCCACGATAGTCTTGTATCTGTTATTAATTATTATTTTTGCAGTGAAAACTATATTTACCAGTGAATTTGTTTAATATTCCAAGATCGCATAGCGAACGCGCTAACCTCCTGCGCCATCGTGTTCCTCATTATAAATGTTATTACAACAAAATTTTATAATTTTCAAATTATATCACTAACAAAGGCTAGTAGAATAGTTGATTCATAAAGAAAAGCCGAGAATGAGAAATTTGTTTTGAATGCTTGATATTCTTGTATATAAATCTTTAGTTGATCCCCGTTAATGAAAGAACGGGTGCTATAAAGATGGATTAAGTAGATACTGGATATTTGTGTTACGGTATTTGCCCTGATCCATATTATTAGTTTTTATTTGAAATACTGAGGAGCTCGATGGCGCAACTGTATAGCGCGTTCGGCTGCGATCGTTGAAGTTAAGCAACTTTCGCAGTGGTCGGTCATTGGATGGGTAACCAAAAATTTACTATATCGAGCTCCTCCGTGCTTCGGATGGCACGTTAAGCCGTTGGTCTCGGTTGCATCTGCAGTCGTTAGCACCCACCAATCCGCACTGGGCCCACATGGTGAGTCATGGCCTAATCTCCCTATTCCATCCATAGGAAAGGCCTGTGCCCTAGCAGTGGGGACATTAAATAGGCTGATGATGATGATGTTGATGTGAAATATTAAATAGGTAATGCAAAATATAAACATCCTATGGTATCGGTTCACCAACTTGACGATGTTTGAGACTAACTATTACTAAGTATTTAGTTATAATAAAGTTCAAGGACCAAAACCAAATTTTTATTTTTTAACTTTCTACATTATTTTTGGTTGTGATTTTTTTTAATATTTAAATATAATGTTTGAATTTTATTTCGCCGGAATTTTTTTTAATGATAAATGGAAATATGACTATATGTTTAATGCCGCTCCCACACATTTGAAGCTTTGTTATTTAATGCGTTAAAATTAGCGTTCGAAATTTAAAATAGTTCTATCGAAATAAAATCGCTAGAAGATAGCTTGGCGATTTTCGACACTCATAAAATAGGTTCTGGGTGACGATATATTTGTATGAACAGCTGATGAAGCCAATTAATTTAAATTTCGAATGATAATTTTAGCGCATTTTAGAACCAAATCTTCAATAAATAAAACAAATATTTCCATCACTCACACCAATTAGCCTAGCCCCAAATAAGCTCTCCAGACTTGTGCTATGGGATACTAGGGTAACGGATAGAATACATATACTGATACATATAAAAGTGTATTTACATAGAAATTAAAGGGATTTATCATATAACTATCTGCCCCCACCAGGATTCGAAGCCGGGACCTCTCGAGTAGGCGACACCTTGAAACCCGACTTAGAAACCATTCGGGCACGGAGGTCGTCATCAAAGCTTTGTCGTGCAGGTCTGGGGAGTAGCATAAGGCGCACCAGTCCCCCTAGCATAAGCACCGCGATATGATATATAGCTCGATTTTATCACGCTCAATTGTCAAATTGCTATGAAGTTTTGACAGACGCGATAAAGAAAATGATATAGTTTAAATTGCAGTGCTCATGCTGCGGGGACAGGGATATTTTTACTTATCTCGGCATATTTAACGAATGGCAGCGGCCGCACGTAATATTATAGGCATAGATTACATTATGATTACTGTAAATCAATACATTATTGTAAATCAAGTTTAAAAACATGATTACCTAACCAGTGCGATAAAGATCGAGCATTTACGCAAATACAATGCGGTATTCTTGATAACGATATCTATCAATTACCTATGTTTGTTTGATCGATACTTGAATTTTGCAGAGTATAATGAGAAGATATTCATATATATAATCATGCGTATGTATTTTGGACATTTTAATTATGTTAGAAGCGCGGTTAGTTGTTGCCTTCCTCGATTATAGCAGCAGTAAAAATCGTGTCTTATGTTTTTCAATCGCCACAGTAACATGCAGCTGGTAAATTCTGACATAGAACTCCATCCATTGGTACGTACTAACACGGCCAGTGAGTATTGAAATTCAACTATTTTGCATTTTTTATGATTTAACTTATGTCACTAATTCAAATTTTCCCATCATTTAACAACAAAACATTCACTGTAAAATGAAACACTTTTTTTTAATGTAACAAACGTTTCCGTGAACTAGAAATCCAACTGTTTTATTAAATAAAAAGAAAATCAATCAATCGAGTTCATTATTAATGTGTTTATCAAACGTTAAAGCATGTAATTTAGTATACCAATGGATGGCCGACTAACACAGCTTTGTCGGTCATACGTACGGCCCTTATGTTTCGGCCTTGCGGCAAATATAGAACGACTGTGTGTACTGTCGCCAACGCAGCGCCAGTACAATCAACGACAAGATACCACTTATCAACTGAAAATGGCAGCACGATTACACTCTAATCAGTTTTCAACCTTCCTTGTGTATAAAGTGTTTATTAAGTGCATACCAGTGTTTGACGTCGTATAGGCTAAGTGTTATTTTGAGAATGTCATCTACGTCTTCATTGGCTGGCAGGAAGTGTTAGTTGTTATTATTAGTTTTGTCTTGAAATTGTGTGCTGTTGTGTGCTGGTTTGTTTGGGCCTGTCTTACTGTTTTCTTTGCGTGTGTTACTGTTTTATTTGACATTGATTGGCTCAAACGTTTTTGCATTTAAACCTGGTAAGATTAAATTTTAAGTTCATTTTCGGAAATTGAATCATTTCTGTCGCAGCCAGTTAACTGATTGCTGGTTATACAATAGCTTGATCGTGTTTTTGATGTGATTTAACAATATAATAACAACTAACAAATTTAAATAATACAAATAATACAACCACAAATTAATTTAATCCAAATGAGATTGAATAATTATTAACCTCGTATTTATTAACCGGAATATAATAACGAACTTGAATTATGAATTTCAAATTGGAAGTACTTCAGATTAAAAAGACATATATTTGTGATTAAGCAAATTATTGGGCACACCAAACTGTTCGTATTATATAAAAAATTAGAGGAAGTTATTTTATATTTTTTTACATTTATCTTTTACCGCCTACTAAATTAAACACATTTTACCGTATAATTTACTTGTATTTATATTATAACAAATGTTTGCTTTCTTAAAGGCCACTTACTCATTTAATTATTATTACGTATCTGTTTCAAAGTTGATAATAAAACTACTCAAAGAAGTGACCAATAATTTAGGTGTATTGTTATTATTTTTGTTGATAATACTATGGTTAATATGAAACAGCTATCAAATTAAAGTTTATGAAAAAAATCGCGACTAAGTAACTTATCAAAGATTAATATATCAATGAGCGACAACAGTTTTTATGATATTAATAATGCGGCGTTTCCATCAGAAAAGGGGGTCTACACTCTATATCCGAAACGATCTTTCGGTAACGAATTTGAAACGAAATTAAATTCCGTCAATTTGAGGTTATAGCTACATAATTCGAACGGTAAACTATCAAATTAAATTTTTCTTTGAGTAAGCTTATTGAATCTAAATTTCTTTCTATTTTCAGGCTTACGAATATTATTTTAATTAGAAACGAATAAGCAATATAGTGGGTAGCCAAGTTATGATCGAAATTTCGTGTTTCGTTGAATTGGATTAGGCCTCCAGTTCTAAGCGAGCAAACATTTGTTTGCTTGGTAAATGGAAACATCAGAGCGTACGAACGACTTGGTTTAACGACGATTGGCTGATCTCAGCGAGCGAATGTTCGTTCGCTCAATCATTAAATGAAAACAACTTTGTAGGTACCTGTGCGGCCGTACAAGCTTTTGATCAGAACATTTATTCTGAGCATTTGTGAAAACAGTACTAATTGTTTTTTTCTAAGCAAATATTTTCTCTGTAGTTATGTAGGTATAAACGTAACTAATATCATTCTATCATTTGTGTTATTATTTCCATTTCACTCTTTGTGACACATTTTGGCTAAAGTGGTTTTTGATCAAGGACAAACAGATTACTCTATAATGAATTACTGTCTCTGAGTTGGTAAAACTAAATATTATACAAATTATTTATAGTTATTTAGTAAAATTTAACTTTGTATGGATAATGTCTCATTGATATATTTTAAAGAAACTACAAACGTAGTTTTAGCAAGAGTTGTACTTAAATATCGACTCCAACTCATTTCATAAATGAGGTACTTATGAAAGAATTGTTCTTTGCTTTTAACAATCGCATCTTTATAGTTCAGAAAGAAAACCTCCATCCTAACATAGATTATAGTTTGCGTGATAGCTTCTAACTTTAAACATGGACTCCCATAATAACCCTTTCAGTAGCAAGAACAAAAACATTATATTAATAATTACACGTTATGAAAGGTCATTGACTGTACATTTCTTTATTAAATTTATGAATCATGACGAAGGCTACGATCAAAAGCACTGAATTGTTTGCGTGTTCGCTGGAAATTAATTATAACTAAAACTTTTAGGTACAGCTTTTAAAAATGCTGCAAAATTCTTTCATTATATTTTAAGATACGATTTCAAACAGAAAAGGAGCCTGTAAAGGATCCGGAACGTCACAAAATCTAAAGTATAGTTTAACTTTACTACACCTTCACTGTGTGCATCTGTATGTCAGTCTGTCAACGGGCTGTAATTCATGAACCGCAATAGGCAGTCAGTCGAAATTTTCGTACAAATAAAATCTGAGTCCGCCGTCTTTCCAGCTTCTTTCTTATCCTCTCCATCCTAAGGTTGTCTGGAAGAGATGGCTCTTAGCGATAAGGCCGCCCATTATAACACTGTATACAGCAGTTATGTACATTTTTTATATATTTCTGTGGTGTAAAATAAAGAGGTTTTTCTATTATTATTATTGTTCAAAGTAATAATATAATTAAGTATTTCTCGACTTTTTAACAGATTCGCCTGACTTAGCCAAATATTGCGTAGGGCGTAGTAATTTCAGATATCGTGAAACTGTGCATACCACAACCAGCGCACAATAGAATTGAATGTCCAAAACAGACAGGCCTCACAAAAAAGACATTGCTATGCAATTCTGCGACGTCAACTTTTTCTCAGCTCTCTAATCTGATAAAGGATTTTGTTTCCTAAGGCCGTGTCAGTCTTTGCAGATCCACAATCATGTTATGTGATTGAAAAAACCGTTTAGGCACCTACCTAAACTGTTTGTGGGAAAAAAATCGTATACTTGCTTTGTTTTACGGGTTATATCCTATGGGTTAGAACGATTTCTTTTTATGATTGAAATTGAAAGAAAAACAGATAATATTTTTTAAGAATTTATTTAAGAATGCCAAAAGTTATAATATAAACCAAGTTATCAAAAGAGGGATTACAGTCTCGAATTTTTGTAAGTTCTTTCATTTAGAGGATATCAAATTTATACTCTGCCTTCGCAAATTCGGATATCAAATTTATACGCATCTGGTCAAACTACTTTTTTTTAGAGTTTGGAGGTTTCGGATCAATTGAATTTGAATCTCAAATTTTAATTAAAACCGCCTAAAACAGTATTAAAATTATTAAATACAAAATTGTGAATTTTTAATTAAAAAACCATGCCAAAAGCCCACTGGAGGTATGTCATTCAGTTTTATACAGCTCCTGTTAAATTAAATTTTATTCAATTATACCGTTTTGTTCGCCAGCTCCTCATATGAAACCAGGCTTCAATGTAAAAAAAAATATTTTAAGTTAAGGACTGACCCTTGAAATCGGCACCCATTTAGAATTTACTTTATTTTCTAGTTGAAGTCAACATTCAAGGCATATCGTCATTATGAACTTGGCTGTCATTTAACATTTATTCTTTATAATTTAAATTAAAGATTCTTGGTCACATATCTTTGACCCAAAGTTGCTTCGACGAGAAACTGCTTTCCTATAAGTGGAAATGTTTAAAAAATATTTGCTAAAGTGAACCCTTACCAACGTGGGTAATATTATTATGAGTGTTTTACCGCCGTGTTAACAATTCTGTTTCATTTTATGTTTCCAGTAGTACTCAGCAGCCTTTTAGAGACGGACCACTACGAGAGCCTGATCAAGGATCTCACATGTACCAAATGCCACAAATATATGAAGCCACCGATCCACCTTTGCGTAGATGGCCATAGCATCTGTGGAACTTGCTTCTCGAAAAGCTACCAATGCCATGTTTGTCAGGTGGGTACAGTAATAAGTACTTAACATTATGGCGCGATTACACTTGGTTGTTAGCCCGAATACAAGTGCTAATGGAATTCGGGTAAAATACTTAACGGGGATCTCGCGGTTCCGCATTTAACAGCGTAAAGGGTATTCGCAGGGTTTTTTAGCATTTTAGCAGATAGTATGCCGTAAGCGCTCGTAAGCCGCGTAAATATTGCTTCGAATTATGTCTTTCGGGCACCTGAATACGATCTAACGACCATATGTAATTGCGCCATTAGTGTATTTTATTTTTCATTTTACTGCTAGATTTAAAAAATTAAAGATTTTTTTACTGAAAACAAAGCCACTTGGTTTAGGCATCAGACAGCACGCACCCGCAACTCCTCCATTCGGATTGTTATAATTAGATTTATATGATAAAAAAAAATACTAAAAGATAGAGAAGAAAAGAGATTTTTACTTTTGAATCCGAAAGACGTGTCAAGAATATTTAATAGTCTGGGTTTTTTTCCCCAGATACTCGACTCCAGCTTCCCGGTCCGGTTAGTTATGACTTTATTACCCAAAGATCTAATCGATGCATACATATTTTAGAACAGGAGGCATACTCCTTTCAACAAAAAACTAAATTTCGATCGACATTTCGCACGATCCTTACACTGTTTCTTTTTCATTTCGAAAATTCGATCGCCCGAAAATAGTTTGCAATTCTCTAAGCCTACTCTAATTCACAAAACTTATAAAGGAAAAGTTGTATTTGACAGACTCGAAATTTTATCCTCAAATTGACCAAATGCAAAGTGTTACCTCTTCACATTCGTTTTGGTATTTTTGTTTTAATGAAACCTAAAATAACTGCTACAGTATTTTTAACCTATGAGGGCCCGCGCGGCCTCGCGCATACGATACCGTAGAGGCCGGCGCACTTAAGATTTGAGCGCGCCATTGGACACTCGACTTGATCTTATCGTATTTTTTACGACTTAGACTTAACAAAGCTCGGCAATGCTTATATTATCAGAAAGATAATGAAATGAACTAGCTGACTAACACAAAATAAACACGTTTTGTTTATATTTGGAGCGGAAACATGAGCTTGTTCTTAGAAGAATTGAAAAATTAACTACTTTGTAGTAAAGATGGAATATATTAGCTACCAAATGTCAATTTTACCAAAAAAACATATTTTTATAAGATTAAACATAAAATTCCCTAAACAAATTGGTAATTTTTATAAATGTTGTAAATATAAAACTACAACTTTTTGGAGTTTGAAAAAGCGCTAAAATTTCACCACTGAAGCAATTCGCGCGGGTTGATCCCGGTTTTTCGAAATTATACTGTGTCATAATTATAAGGTATAACTTAGCAAATTTTCGTTTGAAATATCAGTAATTTACATATATTGAATATCACGGCCAAACTGTATCGTATTAGCAAATAATATAACAGTAATTACCAAGTTTTCAAGATCAGATATCAAACTCACGCAAAAAGTTATGAGCATTGTTTTGTGCACAGTTTTTTCTAAAATTACTATACAATGCCTTTTTATTTACAGTTAAAAAAACTTCTATAAATGAGCATTCTATTTATATGCGTTTCATTATGTTTTATCAAACAAAATCAATAAATAAAAATTCTCTAAGTGGCTACTTATTACTCAAGTTTTACGTCTAAAGTCAACCTTCTGTTGTGTACGTACAAGAGCGTATACAGCGGGTTCCAAAGTAAGATTAGTGAAGTTTAAAAATAAAACTGAGGTTTACAAAATAATAATATATTCATAATTAATGTTAACGTACTTATTATATTAAATTTTCTTCTAGTGTTAGGTATGTATGTACTTATCTGAATAATAATAAACATAATTATATATTTCAACTTATAGAAATATAAAAACAACAACTTAAATTATAATATAAATAATTTTTTGGTCACCCATCCAATGACCGACCACTGCGAAAGTTGTTTAACTTTAACGATCGCAGCCGAACGCGCTAAATAACACTTGCGCCATCGAGACTATTTACAATAATATTTCAATACACATCTCAAAACTCGCAACTCAAAGTTCAAGCCAAACCATATCCTTTTTTGTAAACAAAGAAAGCCAAAGCGTCATTGTTTTCGATGGAATTGTTTGTAATTCCATCTAAAACGACAATGGCTGCAGCGCACATGTGCGCTTGTCCCTACCTGCGGTTTACGTTGTTCCCTCAAAATGTTAAAACGAAAAATTAAAGTGATTTTGTTGAATGATAAACTTAAAATTGTAAACCAAGCCGAGAAACGCAATTATGAGTGATTTTAACTTGCCGGAATCTACCTTTTATATAAAAAAAAAAAGAATTTATAAAATTGATTCTTCATTTTTCGATAAACTTTATGAAATTGAAAAACAGATTCATAATTGTAAGAACGACACTCAGAAAAAATTAATACCTATCGATGCTACAGCATCACTACTGGACAAATCTAATCACCTAACATATGCTAAAAAATATAGGTAAGTACGTTCATAGTTGAACATAAAATCTCAATAAATAATTATCTTCAAATCAGAACAAACACTTCCTTCAAAACAGTAGATAAAAAGAACACCCTTGTTCAATAGCCGGAGCAATTCACGCACACACCTAAACGTCATGTTATGCATGTGTGCGTGCGTCTTGCAAACATTTTGCGGTTTGCCTATAATATTTGAATTTTATTGTGAAAGTATCTTTATAAGTACAAATGTTTTGTAAAATCTAACATCTTTCGTAAATTTGCTGTAAGTTTGAATTAAAACTAGGATAAAATAATAAAGTAATAAAATAGAAAAAAAATCATGAAAAATGGATAGTAGGAAAAAATTTTAGGTTGTTTTTGTTTGTCTTCGATTTATTCAAAAACTAAAGGATGGATTAGTACACGGTTTTTTTTAAATATAAAAAAAATGTATAAAGAATTGATAACTTACCCATTTTTTAACTTCTTTGTAGGATTTCACAAACAAAACACACTGAAAAGTACTCGTACGTCAACAGCACAGGAGAGGAGGAGCACGAATATTTTTAAATGGTGGTCACATGAATGAGTATTGTTCTTGTAGACTGTAAATCTTTGAATGAATAGGTTGGTTCTTTCTCATTCATTTGATATACGACACAAACCATTCTGATATTATTTGTTTCAATTATAAGGTCTAAACTAGTACAACTAGTCTTGTCGTACTGGTGCGGTAGCCGGCGTTGAGAGAGATATTTTTTTGTCGGACTGGTTCGACAGCCGCACTTAAAAGGTTAATCAAGGCTGCTTAGCGTGAGGAACATTTTTTTGCAAGTAAAATTAAGAAATAATATAAATTTGTATGATTTATTGTATTTCCAATACTTCAAAGTATTAAATGACAAATTTAGGTTGACATACAATTGATTGTATTAATATAAATTAGTTGGCTAACACTGTCAAAGAAGGTTCTTTCAATATCATCAAAAAAGTGTCATAAAGTAATATTGTTTCCAAGTAAAAAACGTAATCTAAAAAGTAGAGATAAAAAAGAACTCACAAACATGACTCATTCCATTCGTTCACGAAAATTGTTTGTGATTCTGTAATTTATGTGCATGTTCAAAAAAGAAATAAAGTAGTGTCACTTGCGATATTTCGTTTAAAATTCATTCGTTACCGAAATTTCGTTTCGGAGAAAGGGAGTAAACTTTCAGGAATTCAATAAAATTCACACGGCATGAACACAGGAATCGGGAGGACCAAATACTTCCAAATTTGTTTTAAATTGTACTGTTACAAAATTATGATGATTCAATGGGTCTGAGTTGTTTAAGTTTCTTCCGTCATATAGTTTTACTTGTTAAGATGTCTATCCATGTTATGCTACATACCTATACAAAGCGAGCATTGCCCTTTCTGCATTACTTCAGAAATACCAAAGTAAAATAAAAGATAAACGTTTTGTTATACCTTACTGAGATACTTATTATAAGATGATTTCTCGTATTTTATTTTATAGTCAATTAACTAACTGCCAATTATTTTTCAAATAATTGTTTTTATAATTTCAATATAATTATTAGTATATCAGACTCGTAAAAGTTTAAAATATAATTATTTTTTTTTGAAAACTAATATAGAAATACGAGTAATTATTATGTAATGGTTGAAAGCCTACTAGAAGTGTATAAGAGGAGGTAGTCATGATTGTGTAGGCTAAGACTAACTCACGGACCGGTTTTTCCCGCACATGCCGCGAGCGCCCTCGCAGCTGTTTTATTTCAAGGCTCATGTAACCGCGGCGGCTGTGACACCAAGCGAAACCCGACGTGTCTGTGAAAAATCGCTTCCCGCGCGTTCTGCGGGAGAAAATCGTGCTGTGAATTCTTAGCCTAAACGCTTTTGCTTTGCAGCCACGGCACACGAGCCAAATTTGCTGCAAAGGAGCGCCAATTGATGTTTCACATCAAAAGTACAATATTAACTATCAAAGTATAGGTTCCTATTATCAATTTTAAACAAGGTTCAAGTGTCACTCTAAATAGACAAATTTCGTTTAATCTGTATTTTTAGAACCCATGGCCCAAAACTAAATTAAACAATTCCTTACAAAGCGAACCATACTACATAAAGACCTTATTATTAAGACATAATCATCATAACAATAATTTCCCAATTCAAGTAGCGACGCTCCTGTTTCCTTAGGAGAAACTTCCGCTTGTTATGTTAATGACATGAAAAACAATACAATAAAAGAAAAGGGGAACTACAACCATAGGAATATTAGTGACAATAACGTTAGAAACGGGTTCCGACAATGTCTATTATTAGAACATATTTTCTTGCTAATGGCCGGCTGTGCGTGAACGACCAACCCGATAAATAGCCCCGCATCTGCACGTTCACATCAATTTTTTCCGTCCGGCATTCTTCTTCCGTCTTTGTTTATATCATACTTTTTTCGCGGGCGAAACGTGAAGAATTTTATTGTTGGCATGTCCAAACCACGCCGACAGGTATGAAATACGTTTTTATTTCCCGGCTAAGGTTATGCCAAAAGGAGGAGCTTACAATTTTTATAGATTTTGATATAAGTATGATTCTGATCTTATTTGATAAAAACTTATTATTTGGATATTCCTCCGTTGTGGTTGATTTATTCAACAGATTTTGATGATCGAGTTGCCAATTGATGCGTTACTCGTATAGATGATATGATTGTATATATATTCTGGAATTGAAACTAGATGTTTCAGCTCTCCAAAGACACAATCAAGTTTACTATTGTTATTTCATGGATGAATTAATGAGACTGATGTGGTTTCCATTTTTTAACTTAATGACCTAATAATTCAATATTTTTTTACATTTCCATGATCACTAACATTCTATAATGTTAGTGATCATGGAAATGTAAAATTGTAATTACTATAATTAGAGGAATTGATACCACGTGGGTCTACCTTGTATCATAGAACTTTATGTCATAATATTATGCATCAGATAAAAGAGATCAGATCATTTATTTAGAAAAATATATTTTGGTAATCACTAATTTATCCGACATTAAAACGCATAATTCTCTAATTCAGAATTATCATAAGGCATACGTTTAATATCCAAAAAGCAGAACCATCATATTGCAGAATATTCACAGTTACAATAGTCTTTTGGCATAGAAGTATTGAAATTATATTTGTTTATTTATCTATTATCTATTGGTGGCTAGCGTCAGTTTAGATCACCTCACTAACCTTTTTTTTCTTCTTTTATGTTTGCTTGGGGAAATGCGTGACGCATACCCGCTCATTAGAAAGTGAGCGGATTATGTCGGACTTTCCCCTGCCTACCAACCAGACGAAAACAAAATTTCCCCTTGTCGGTAGGCACGGGCCTACCGACTAAAATCCCACGGTGTTTCGTCCTCAGCGATGGGTGGTGGAATGGAAGTAACAGCCAGGCCATGTCTTCGAAAATTCCACAAGCCATCACTTCGCCCGCATCCGGACGCATCTTCATTGCAGTTTTCCGCACTACTCCATCAAGCGGCAACATACCGAAACACAGGTATGTTGCCGCACACTACTCCATTGACTGTCGTCCAAGCAACAGCTACTCCCTACACCTGCGTTATTTTTTAGGGCACTAACGCTCTGAACGGCGTCTGAGTGGATCTGTTTGGCGGTCTTCCTCGCGGGCCCGCTCCCTAGCCTCTTTGCCACCCATTACCGTTTCCACCTCACTAACCTAACCCAACCCACTGACTACAAACAGCTCTAATGCTTAAAGAAATTATGCAGTTTTAAATTTTGTTAATGGACGCTATCTTTAATTATGACATTTATAAACTACCAAAAAATAGTAGTAATTGTAAATTAATTTCGGAGTAAGAAGATGCTACCAGATAGAAGTAACCCCACCCTTGTGCGTTGTTTTTGTGAGGTCCCGATACTTCGGGCTGTTGCAATTGCAACTGCCATTATCACGGTATAACTGCTGATAATTTGGATAAAAGTATTGCATTCAAACATTTATAAATGCTTGTTTTGTTGCAGAAAGAATTTTCGCAAGTGCGGCCGATGGTGCTCGAGTCGTTGGCCAACAAAGTGCTATTTCCGTGTACGAACACCGGATGTCCGAAGCACGCAACCCTGCCTCAGTTAGAGAAGCATTCGCCTCAGTGCCAATACCGGATCATCAGTTGTTTTATGTCTAGAGTTTATGGTGAGTTTCAACAAAATTAAGAAACGTTTTATTTGAAGATTAGAGACGAACGGGAGGCCAATTTCAAACGACCAAAATCCCTAAGGGAGTTTAGAAAACGTTTCCAAATTACTTTTTTTAGTATTGCTTCTCGTGAATCTCATGCACTCTCTTTCATCTTCCTCTCTTTATCTCTCAAATGTTTTAATTACTCTCATTTTCTTGTTCATTAGTTATTTAATGCTTGATTGTGTTGCATAGATTATTATTACCATCAATATATTAGGTACCTTTAGAACTGTTTTAAATTCCTGACTAATTAAATAAAAAAATGTCATAATGATTTTTTTGTTATCACCTGTAGGCCTATTTGCTAACTACGTTTGACAGATGAGAGTAATAATCCCCGAGCTATTTAGTTATCCATTACTGCTTTATTGTAACGCCACTAAGATACTTGTTCTGAAAAGCATCGATGGATATGCAATTGTCTCTTTAGTTACACACTGTAAATGTCAAAAAAGTTAGAGAATAAGCCGTCTGGTCTTTAATGGAATAAAACATGAGGTTTAAATAAAGGGTGGCATTGTTTAACTTCGCACCTAACAGTTTGATAAAACAATAAAGTAGGTATATCCTTTGAAATCTGTCCTAAAGCTAGGTCACTTGTTTCACGTCACACCAAGCAATTCGATAAAACAATATAGTAGGTATATCCTTTGAAATCTGTCCTAAAGCTAGGTCACTTGTTGCATGTCACACCTAGCAATTTGATATAGGTATAACCTTTGAAATATGTCCTAAAGCTAGGTCACTTGTTCACGTCACACCTAGCAATTTGATAAAACAATATAGTAGGTATAACTTTTGAAATCTGTCCTAAAGCTAAGTCACTTGTTTCACGTCACACCTAGCAATTTGATAAAACAATATAGTAGGTATAACCTTTGAAATCTGTCCTAAAGCTAGGTCACTTGTTTCACGTCACACCTAGCAATTTGATAAAACAATATAGTAGGTATAACCTTTGAAATCTGTCCTAAAGCTAGGTCACTTGTTTCACGTCACTACTAGCAATTTGATAAAATAATATAGTAGGTATAACCTTCGAAACCTATACATTTTTTAAACTTTCATGGTCACTAACATTATAGATATTAACGAGATTGTTACCATGTACCTTGTTTTTTATGAGTCTCCGATATTTCGGCACTGTTGCAAGCGCCATGATCACGGAGGATCAGGAGTGACAGACAAGATCTCAAACATACTTATTAAGTAATCACTGAATACTGTCTTCACTCCTTTACAAAAAGTGTCACAGATTCTACGGTTTCCCAAAGATAACTTCCCCTTGGAGAAACCTGGTGTATACAAGATCGACTGCAGCTGTGGTAGTTCGTATATTGACCAAACGAAGCGACGCTATTGTCCGCTTCGTTTGGTCGAAATTGCCGAGATTGCCGAATGAAAGAGCACATAAAAACAGTCAGAAATAATGATACGCAAAAATCAGCCATCGCGGAAAATTTAATTGATTCGGGTCCTAATCTCTGGATTGAGCTCCATAATCCATAAATTATCTCGACAGAACGCCACTACATACCAAGATTGGTCAGGGAAGCGATTGAAATAACCAAACACAAGAGTTTCAATCGTGAGGATGGGTTTAAATTGTCTAGTGTGTGGAATTCAGTTGTTCGTATGTGTAAAACCGCAAAAATAAAAAAAAGTGTCGTTCCGCGATCTGATACTGTGAGTATTGTGTGCCGGGAACAAATGCGAGTGAATAGTGAGAATGTGACCAGTGGTAGGGCTATCGAACGCAGTAAAAGACGACGTCAGAGGGTAGACCGATATGTCTGCCAATAACATCTACATGCAATTACTTCAGTTACTCCGTAATCATGGCGCTTGCAACAGTGCCGAAATATCGGAGACTCAGAAAAAACAAGGTACATGGTAACTTTGAAACCTAGCTCTAAATAGAAATACAACCGTTAACAAATTAAACAGACACGAATTCAAATGCGTTTAGTAAAGGGAGAAATCCAGTTAGATCTTGCACAAACAGGAGTGCGCCGTCTAAATCAGACATTACACATGGAAATAACGATTATTAACGTACCGGCAATAAAGCCGGAACATCATTTACCAGGAACCAATTACGAAGCAGCTTTACTCGGCTAACTTCCCGCCGGAAGCTCGTGTGCTCCAAGTCTAAGTGCTAACTGCAGCTTGTTACATAGAATTACAAGCATTAGGTAGGTGCTGTGCTAAAACACAGATGGATCGTTAATTCTAGATAGATTCTGTATACAGCTATATTAATTTAATTGTTGTGTTCTATTCACAGTGGCTTGCAAATTACGAGTATTCTACAAAGCAGATTGTGAAATTCTGAAGAGAGCTTAGTAATAATATGTTTCTAGTTTACTGTTTTGAATTAAAACTTTTAATATTCTTATCTTAGTGTTGAAAAGCAAGATTTCCTTTAATGAATAATTTTCATTTCCATTTTTTTTTAATTCTTTTAAAGCTGTTATCTAAACTGATGACAATAAATTATCATATTAAAGTTTGTTCAAAGTATTGGTAGTATGTATTAGTAAAAAGTCACAGTGAAAATTTTCCAAAGATGCCTTTTCTGTCGTAGTATTCCACAATTAAAGTTTTTACTCCATTTGTTCGCAACTCACATTAGGTACTTATCTTTTCTTAAAAAAAATATTTTATGTTTAAAACATGTTTATTTGAGCATAAAAAGAAAGTTTATTCGCATAACTTTTTTCTTGAAAAATATTGACATAAATATATTTATAGTTTTGTTGTTTCATTTAATAGGTGATTGCAAATGGAAAGGCAGAGCTGGTGAATGGATGGACCACTGCTTCTTGGAACACAAACAGAAGGTGACCGACCTACCCTTCATCACCGTCAAAGACAAGTGGGAAGCGAAGAGAACGGAACCAGTGCTCAACTACTTCCTGCTCAGATGCTTCGAGAAAGTGTTCAACGTGTACCAGATTTACGACAAAAGAGGAGGTAAGAAAATAAATACTCCAGTAAGTTCTTTTAAATATAAATTTACTCTAAGTATTAAACCGCTACATTTTTCGACCTAAACCTAATCAACACGAACCGCTTAGTGTCGCCGCACACGGGCCACCGATCCAAACCACAAAACGCCGCCACCGGCATATTTCTTGTAGTTTTCATACATTTTATATGGACTCGCCACACACGGTACGCCGGTGGCCGCCACACGTTACAAATTGTCGTTGCTCGCTTCTTATGACCCGCACCGGCCACTTAATGCGCCGATACAAAACGCCGTCACACGTCACTCGCGCGATTCCCCACCCCTCTCTCCCTTACCTTAGTCGGCCGCTGTCGCGCGCTTCAGCCACTTTAGTAGCCGCTTCTAGCTTCTCGTGGCGGCGTTTGTGGCGGTGGCGTGTGGCCCGTGTGCGGCGACACTTAAGAGTCATGAAAGCTCACTCATCAACAAAAACGCAACACTGCTAAAATGGAGTGTTATTTCTCTGCGACATTGCTATAAGGCGGAGGTTACTTGCTCCAATCTGAGCGGAAAGCTAGCTACCCATCTTATTATCAAAAAAGTAACACAGTATAAAATAATATACTCGAACAAGTATAAATTTCATTTTTAAATACATATCTACAGTACATACGTAGTAGATATTACTGAATTTCTACCTTTTGTACTAACACAGTACATTATGCTCTAACAAGTATATATTTTATTTTAAATATATAATATGTAGACATACATATGTACAGTTCATACGTAGTGAATATTACTGAATTTCTTCCTTTTGTACTATCGGCCCTTCCATACGAGAAAATTCCAATGTTCTTCCTCATAGACTGTAATCTAAATTCCATGTGAATGAATCGCGAAAGCATGTTAGCAGAATTGATATACAAATAACTTACTAAACATCTGAATATAAAACCTACTTTTTCATAGGAAAATTATGAAAATTAATCAGATAAGCGGTAATACCTGCTTTAGTCGGTGAGCAATATTAACAAAACATATTTTTTTATCACGCTATTTTGACGATTTAGGGCGTTAAAAACGTGGTATAATTATATCATATCGCGGTGCTTATGTTAGGAAAGACTGATTTATATTAAAACTAGCCGTCCCAGCGAACTTCGTACCGCCATAAAAAATAGAGGTTGGTGGTAGAAGGGTGAAAATTAAGGATTGTATGTATTTTTGTATGATGTATCATAAAAAAATAAAAACAAAAAAAATTGTCCAAAAAATAAATAAAAAAAATTAAGGGTGGACCACCCTTAACATTCATGAAGATGAAAAATAAATGTTGTCCAATTCTCAGACCTACTGAATAATATGCATCTAAAATTTCACGAAAATTGGTCAAGTCGTTTCGGAGTAGTACAATTACGCACAACGTAACACGAGACTTGTATATATTAGATGTAAATCAAAGTTTTTTTTGTTCTTCGGTATCTACAGATCGGTTAAGCCGATGGTTTTATTTATTTATTTATTTAATTCTACACCAAAATCCTCAGTATCTTCTTAATATAATACAGGTTTTACAATATAGTTTTATATAAGCTTATGATTATATTATTTTAATTGTATCAGTTTTTTCTTTTACAATGGTCTTAGGTTTGCTTTCCGGTAGCGAAGGTAGGTAGGTTTGATTTTTGTGACAAGCACAAATAATTGTTCTCTATTCATGGTTTTAGTTATGTATAAATAGCAATCAATTTATGAACGTACATCATTTACAAGCTCTGCTGTTTATTTATTATTCAATAACACAATTCTCGAGGAGCTCGATGGCGCAGGTGGCTAGCGCGTTAGGCTGCGATCGTTGAAGTTAAGCACCTTTCGCAGTAGTCGGTCATTGGATGGGTGACCAAAAATTTACTATCTCGAGCTCCTCCGTGCTTCGGAAGGCACGTTAAGCCGTTGGTCCCGGCTGCATTTGCAGCCGTTAGCACCCACCAATCCGCACTGGGCCCGCGTGGTGGGTGATGGCCCAATCTCCCTATTCCATCCATAGGGAAGGCCTGTACCCCAGCAGTGGGGACATTAATAGGCTGATGATGATGATGATGATGAACACAATTCTCTTTATGTTTAACAAGTAAAATCTATGTTGGTATCATAATCATCCTTAATAGAATAATTAAAACAAAAAATATACTATAACAATGAACCTAAAACTAAAAACCTTAAAAAAAAATATAATAACTAAAATACATTATTAAAAGGAGTCCCTTTAGGCAAGGTTCCGAAGATACTGGCAGCGTTCCCCTACTAAGCTCTGCTTAGTTTGACAATGATTCTAAGTTATGATTTTATTTATTTTTTAAGCATTTAACTACCTCTGTGAAGTTAGCCCCCCACTTTTTGAATTTTATTATTATCTAGGTTGTTCTGGGTTGTTCTATGTTTGTTCTACATTGTTCCAAAATATTATTTGAAAAAACTCAAATTTGAAGCTGCCAGACAAGAAAAACCGTTTTTCTATGGTAGCCCCACATGTTTGGAAATTCAATATTTTTTTAGTTGTTCCAAGTTGTTCTAGTTGTTCCGAACATTGTTCCAAAGTATTATTTGAAAAAACTCAAAGTTGAAGCTGCCAGACAAAAAAAAACGTTTTTATGGTAGCCCCCCATGTTTGGAAATTCAATATTTTTTTAGTTGTTCCAAGTTGTTCTAGTTGTTCCGAACATTGTTCCAAAGTATTATTTGAAAATATTCAAATTTGAAGCTGCCAGACAAAAAAATACGTGTTTATGGTAGCCCCCCATGTTTTGAAATTCAATACTTTTTTAGTTGTTCCAAAATGTTCTAGTTGTTCCTAACATTGTTCCAAAGTATTATTTGAAAAAACTCAAATTTGAAGCTGTCAGGCAAAAAAAACCGTTTTTGAGATAGCCCCCCATGTTTGGAAATTCGTTATTTTGAAAGTTGTTCCAAGTTGTTCTAGTTGTTCCTAACATTGTTCCAAAGTATTATTTGAAAAAACTCAAATTTGAAGCTGTCATTAAAAAAAAAACCGTTTTTCAGATAGCCCCCATGTTTGGAAATTCGTTATTTTGAAAGTTGTTCCAAGTTGTTCCAGATGTTCCTAACATTGTTCCAAAGTATTATTTGAAAAAACTCAAATTTGAAGCTGTCAGGCAAAAAAACCGTTTTTAAGATAGCCCCCCATGTTTGGAAATTCATTATGTTTTTAGTTGTTCCAAGTTGTTCTAGTTGTTCCTAACATTGTTCCAAAGTATTATTTGAAAAAAATAAAATTTGAAGCTGTAAGACAAAAAAAACTTTTATTTATAAAATAAAATCAATCGTACCTACCAGAGACAATAAATATATCAAAAATCAATTTAAACAATGACGATTGTACAACAAGCGTACAACCGTGGGCAATATCGTTCCAATTTCATTTAATCATTTTGAATTAAATTAATAGAAAAGAAAACATTAGAATATAGGGTAAACTCCCTAATTGTTGGCACTTTAAGAGTAGTAGTGGTAGTAGGTGGGGGATACCATAAAAAACAAAAGTGACACAGTGCCAACTTGCGCTTTTGCCCTGAGGGTAGATACCACCCCTTCTCGGGGGTGAAAATTATTTTAATAAAAATAACTCCAGGAATCGATACAAAGACAAATTGTAAGTAAAATTTGTTATATTAAGTTTTCGGAATAAATCAATACTTTCTGAGTTATTAAAGATAAAATATTGTGATTTTGCGTGATAAAAATACATGTTTAAGCGATTTTTAATAAATAACTCTAAAACTATGAGCTTTACAAAAAAAATATTAGTACCAAAATTGAAGCTAATAAAAAAACAAACAAACGCCTACTTTGAAAAACCTTCTAATTTCAATTCTAAGTGAGCTATAGGTAATTGTATGTACATATATTTTTTTCGGCTAGTACTTAAATCTAAGTATTCAAACCTAAATAACGGGAAACCCATGAATTTATGACATTCACTTCCGGAGCACTTTTAAATTCCTCAGAAATACCTTTATAATGAGCACTGTAAAAAGTTAATAGCTTCAAAATTGAAAAAGTTATAATAAAAATAAGATAACACTTATTTTTTTTAGGAAAAACGAAAAATAAACCCTTCATTCCAACCATTCGTCAAAATGCATCGGTTTCCCGTTATTTAGGGTTGGAAACTTAGATTTAAGTACTCGTCGAAAAAAAATATACATACAATTACCTATAGCTCACTTTGAATTCATATAAGAAGGTTTTTCAAAGAAGGGGTTTGTTTTTTTATTAGCTTCAATTTTGGTAATAATTAGACTTGCAACGAATAGTATGTTCGGCAGTATACCGAATATTCGGCGAGGCCCCTGACCGAATAGCTGAATATTAGGCAAAAGTATTCGGTTGGATTTTAGCGCCAAAAACTTGTACAAACGTGATTGTTTCGCGCCCCTTTGTTTGCAGTGCAATTCAGTCAAACGCAGTTTCAACAGAAATGGATCTTTTCTTAAATATTAGTAATATATCACGTCATGACAACCCATATACATGGTGGCAGCAAGGAAAATTGAATTTCCGTGTTTGATTAAGATTGCAGCAAAATTTTTGTCGGCGCCAGGAAGTAGTGTTTATTCAGAGCGCCTTTACTCTGAAGCTGGGATGGTGTACGAGAAAAAAAGAATTTCTACTACTTCCTAAAAATGCAGAAAATTTAGTCTTTCTGCACCATAACCTTCCCCTTCTAAATTTTGATTATGAAAATAATTCAAATGCATAGAAAAATTCTTAACTTGTTTAATACAGAAAATGATTAAATTATGTACCTGTTTTATGTACCAATAACTACTTAATAAATGATTATAAAAGAAATGAGAACCTTACCCTTTTAAATTTTGATTACCACAATAATGCAAATACATAGAGTCCTCCATTTTTCCAATTCAGAAGATGATTATGTACCAATGACTACTTTAATGATTATATATAACAGAAATGAAAATATGAATATATACCTACGTAATCAATCGATATTAATTTTCATTTTACCAATTATTTCTCTATGACAAAATATGTTATTTAAGTATTCGGTATTCGGACGAATAATATGTAGGTATTCGGTATTCGGCCGAATATAATAAAAGCAGCCGAATAGGCCGAATACCGAATAGTAACCGAATATTCGTTGCGTCTAGTAATAATATATTTTTCTTTAAACTCATAGTTTTTGAGATATTTATAAAAACCGCTTAAATCATGAATTTTTTGGCACAAAATCACAATCTTTGATCATTATTAACTCAGAAAGTATTGATTTATTTCGAAAACTTAATATAACAACTTTTGCTTAGATATGGTATCCCCCACCTCATCACCATTTTTCATGAAAATCGATGGAGGTTCATCGAAATCGGAGGTTATAGCTGATTTTTGCCTTCATTGACTGTACTATTATGAAAACAAAGATTGAACTATATTTCCTTGATACTATTACATGTGTTGTGTACTAACTCATTTAGATGTGATTTTATGGTAATTTAATGTCTGACTGACATGGAACCTACTCTTAAAGTGCCAACAATTAGGGAGTTTACTCTATAGTGTAATGTTTTCTTGTTTTATAACTATTAATTTTATTCAAAATGATTAAATAAAATTGGAACGATATAGCCCACGGTTGTACTGATACGATCGTCATTGTTTAAAATTATTGTTGATTTATTTATTGTCTCTAGTACGATTTGATTTGGCGGGCTATCTGAAAAACGTTTTTTTTTTTGTCTGACAGCTTCAAATTTGAGTTTTTTCAAATAATACTTTGGAACAATGTTAGGAACAACTAGAACAACTTGGAACAACTTTAAAAATAACGAATTTCCAAACATGGGGGGCTATCTCAAAAACGGTTTTTTTTGCCTGACAGCTTCATATTTGAGTTTTTTCAAATAATACTTTGGAACAATGTTAGGAACAACTAGAACAACTTGGAACAACTAAAAAAGTATTGAATTTCAAAACATGGGGGCTACCATAAAAACGTTTTTTTTGTCTGGCAGCTTCAAATTTGAATACTTTCAAATAATACTTTGGAACAATGTTCGGAACAACTAGAACAACTTAGAACAACTAAAAAAATATTGAATTTCCAAACATGGGGGGCTACCATAAAAAAAGTTTTTTTTGTCTGGCAGCTTCAAATTTGAATATTTTCAAATAATACTTTGGAACAATGTTAGGAACAACTAGAACAACTTGGAACAACTAAAAAAATATTGAATTTCCCAACATGGGGGGCTACCATAAAAAAGTTTTTTTTTTGTCTGGTAGCTTCAAATTTGAGTTTTTTCAAATAATACTTTGGAACAATGTTCGGAACAACTAGAACAACTTGGAACAACTAAAATAATATTGAATTTCCAAACATGGGGGGCTACCATAGAAAAACGGTTTTTCTTGTCTGGCAGCTTCAAATTTGAGTTTTTTCAAATAATACTTTGGAACAATGTAGAACAAACATAGAACAACCCAGAACAACCTAGATAATAATAAAATTCAAAAAGTGGGGGGCTAACTTCACAGAGGTCATTTAACTGCTAGATGTTTAAATCTAAAGAAAAGTTTACTAGAAAAAAATCCACGCGGACCAGGCAGCGGACGGGACTCGAACCCGCATCCTTCGCTATCCGGGCGAATGCACTGACCATTATGCTACCACGGCCCTATTAGCCGCGTCGAAATTTTCCTAGCCTTAAGCTGCAAGGCAGCGCCATTTCTTCGCATTGTAGGTAACTCATGATTCTAAGTTGTCCTAAACTAGGAAATATTATTTAAGTACTTGAAAAATATAATGTTATTTACTTAAAATATATTTAGTCAATAGTAGCGGTAATCGATGAAGACTATATTTTTAGTATGACAAATGTATAGAATAACCTTATTAAAATATATAGACATAGAAGTGGTATCCTACAAAACATAAAAACAAAGGATCCTGAGTTACCAATTTGTGACTCGTATATAAGTTCTTCTCGTATAAATTTCAACTTTGTTTCTCGACGCGTTATATTTTAAAATCATATTATATAAATAGTATAAATAATTAAATAACCATCGTTATTTCAATTTCCTTTTTTATTTTTGTAGTAGGCCCTCTGATAACTACAATTCTATTACAGGAAGGATGATGTGGACAGTGCTTGTGAACGACGACCAAGCAGATAAGTTCTATTTTGAAGTGGATATTTTTCTGCCAAACTTTCCAAGCAAGAGGATTGTTTATAGGTATGTGTTCAGTATTCCTTAACAGTTCAGGACTTTACAATGATTTTTGAAGCTGACATATCAACAAATCAACGGTCATTTATTGTTATGATAGTGTTCTTGCCTGCTGCTCCAGAAGTCCTGGGTTTTAACGTCGTTAGGAGCATTTGCATATTTGAATGAGTCACACGATTATTTTTTTTCATGTTAAAAAGGTGTCAAACAAGAAACGGCCTTCCGGACTTTTTGGTGGGATCGGGAATCATCACTTTAGCGTTTTGTTTTTCCTTGTTAAAAATTGTGTTGTGGCGGATGTTAGTGTTAGTAGCAAAATACTGAAACATAGGAAAAGGGGAATTGACTTGACTGCCACTTACTTTGACTTGATTTATTACTTTGACCACGAGTGCTTTAGTATTTGTAAACATTTCAACACTTGACATTGGCTAAATGCACAAGCCGTGCGAAGTCATTTAGAAAAAAACAAAACAAACGACCTTCCCCCCCCCCCCCCCCCCCCACGACAAAGGATAACTAGAGCCCAGGTCCGAGTCTCAGAGACGCCCTCTAGTTAAGCTGACCCTCTCAGGTTCTAATGGTCTAGAGGCGTCAGACGGAGAGGAGACTCCCCCCGTGGGAAGATGCCATCCGCCTGGAATACCTCTAGAGACACTCGCCAATTCTCGGCTTGAGGTCCCCTAAGGATCTCGCCGTCCCCAAACCCGGTGACGCTGTAAAGGTCATTTGCGACCAACAGCATACACACTCAGAAAAAAATGGCCGGCCTGGCGGTAAGAGGCCACATAACATATACTTATTTATATGTAAGTATTACCTAATGAACTTCCATCGTAAAAGCAGAAAAAGAATATTGAGACGTTTAAGCTAGACTTTAGAAAAGAGATTTGACAACTCTCATAAAGAGTGTTTTTTTGTTTTGACAATTTTTTCTCCCTAAATTATTTAGAAAAAATACTTATTAACTATACGCTTATTTTAAGCCCATAGAAAAGATAGAAATAATATTACGTTTGGTGACTATTATACTTCATCTCAGTCTGATATTATGACTTAATAAACCGGCGCGGGTGGTTAGCGCGTTCGGCTGCGATCGTTGAAGTTAAGCACCTTTCGCAGTGGTCGGTTATTGGATTGGTGACCAGAAATATTCTATCTTGAGCTCCTCCGTGCTTCGGAAGGCACGTTAAGCCGTTGGTCCCGGCTGCATCTGCAGTCGTTAGCACCCGCCAATCCACACGGGGCCTGCGTGGTGGGTCACGGCCCAATCTCCCTATTCGATCCATAGGGAAGGCCTGTGCCCCAGCAGTGGGGACATTAATAGGCTGATGATGATGATGATGATGATGATGATGATGATGATGATGAAACCGCCTGAATTCCGAGTTACCATTTATTACGCGGTTAGCTCTATTGATGCTTACAAAGACAATAACCTGAAAAAACCACAATTAAATGGAAGTCTTACATATGTAATGAACCTAGATACAGTGTTCAGATTTAATCGTTGGAATAAATACCAAAAATGAAGCCGACGCGAATTTATCGCGCAAATGATACCATAACGCTTACAAACTTCGTTCAAATTTTCACTTATTTCCTCGGGGAGCGTTATTAATTGTGCAATTTGCGGGAAAATGTTGCGCGCAATAGCACTCATGGCGTGTTTCTGTCTCTTTCAGGCGTCCCTGCAAATGTGAGAGGGATGCCGACTTTTTGGAGCACACGCAAAATGTTTACATTCCTGTAGAAAACGTCTTCTCGATGCTTGATGAGAGCGAGTGCATGAATTTCACAGTGCGCATTGGTGAGTCGAATACATTACATCAAAATTCATTGTGTACCATAGGGAGGATGACGGGGTAAAATAAATGAAATTCTATAATAAATCTAAAGAAAATTATACAAAAAAAATATCCACACGGGCTAGGCAGCAGACGGGACTTGAACCAATTCTTTTTATTCCGTCATTCAGGTTATCAAAAGTAATGAAATCAAATTATTCTTTTGTTTATTAACAAAAATATATCGAAAACAAAGCGCGTCAAAGTTTGAGAGTGGGTTCTTTTGAAGTCACTTCTGAGTACAAACTCTACCAAGACGTGATGTCATGGGACATTTCAAATCAATATATTTCTGTAATGTTTTGAATATGTAAAAAAATACAAAATAAGTGTACAATATTTTTTAATAATCTACCTGACAGATAAACAGAAAAATAACTCATCATCCTTATTAAAATTCAGAGGACCTCTTTTTGGTTAGATTAACGCGTTTTATCTGCGTTTGTGAAAACCACTTTCGCAGTGGTTTGCAATGTGGATGGGTAAAAAACAAAGTTTTTTTGTATAAACAAAGCGCAGTTAAAGGAAGAAATAGACCTGTATTGCGCTGGATCGTGACGCATCAGAAGTAAAAGAAAGAAGAAAGAAAAAAATACATTTATTGAGGACTCAATCTAACATACTTACAATAAGCTTACAAACGATGATTATAATATGCTCGTCAATCAGGCTCCACCTCAGCATAATTTTGCAACAGCAAATGGATTGCCGCTGTAACGCTGATATTCTGGAGGGGCCTAATTTGGACATCAACGAACAGACACAAGACAGAAATTATAAGACAGCAAAGAACATTGAAAACAGTAATTAATTAAATATATACAATAAAAACAAACAAACCAATAAAATAATAAATAGAAATTAAATGTAAAAGTAACAAGTAGCTGTATAGGCTTTGCATCCTTTGACTTAATTAAGAGATAATACAAACAAGCTCACAAAAACTTAACAAGAGGCTGTATGGGTTTTGCTCTTTGCCTGCAGAAATTAGGAACAAAATATTACATAAAAGAAATCGAAATAGAGAAAGAAAAAATAATGGATAGACACGTATTAAAAACCACGTCATCCGTATATTCTAGAACGTGGCGCAGTTTATTAAACAATTGTGTTAAAGTTCAATATCTACCGGGAAAGACACCGTTTACCAAATTAGCAATGTCTGCCGAAATAAATCTAGAGTCTGCGGCCAGAGAAACCGCTGGCAGAATGCCGGAACGACATCACTGACACAAAATGCTTTACGTGAACAACCCGAAAGCGAGTCCAGTACCCTTAGCACGAACCAATATCGAATTCGAATAGTTTGCGCGTGCGAAATGTCATTGTCAAATGAGTACTGATTTTTAGTTCTCGTAACGTTCGTTATGGCGCTGCTGTTCAAGTTTCCATACAAAATTTGACATTGACATTTCGGACTCGCAAACTATTCGAATTCGATATTGGTTCGTGCTAGGGGTACAGTTTCTTAATTGCAGGTTCATTAGGTATTTTTGGAGATGGCGTCTAAATGTGTGCACTGTTTGTGTATCAGTTTTATACGTTTAGTATAGTCAGAAACACATAAGTGCTGCAACACAATTCATTGATGTGTTTCTAACCATACTAATCGCAGTAGAAGCGCATTGGCTGACACAACTCGCCACAATAGTCTGTTTCTGGCATTATCCCACCCCACCTGATGTTAAGTGTAAGGCACCTCGCGCACTAGACGGCCACGACTATGGCCTGTGGCTGTAACGGCCAGTTTAACATAAGTTGGCCGTTGCGGCCAAGTGCTCGTTGTGGCCACTGGTCGTAGCCGTTTAGTTTGCGAGGTGTCTATGTTAAGTTCAGTCTCGACAACAGGCATAAAAAGTGTGTCGCTTCAGCTATCCTGATCTTGCCGGATTCAACCTAATCCTCGACCCCGAGGAGCTCTAGGACCTTACTTACGAGTAAAAACACAATATAACTAAAATGTGTGTGTTGTTTTACTTGCAGTCTTCGGTAAGGTGGAGATTACTTTTCTAAGTAAATATGAAGGTAAACAATTATTATGGTAAGCTACTGCAAAAATTTATTTACACCAATCCTTCCTGGGATCGAAAAGTGCAACAAGGCTTATTCGCCATATTCTATCCAAAGGGAAGGCGTGTGCCCCAGAGCAGCGGAATATAATTGGACTGTTTCTAGACAGCTTTTTTTAGTAAAAAGAATGGTGAAAAAGCGTATGGCGCACCTGATTCATCTGAAAAAAATTAGCACTGTCCTAGCTACACCCTTCCGCCGTTGGGCCTGTTCAATGGGTTCTGGCCCATTTTCCTTATTCTCTCCATAGGAAAGGCCTGTGCCTTAGCAGAAGGAACATAAATAGACACTGTTCATGATATTATTTATTAAGAAAAAGTATCTCTTTCTTTTGCAGGAGAAGTAGAGAACCTTCCACTTCTAGAAACACCAACAGAAAGTGAGAGCTTAATATTACTAAATGAAGACGTAAAAGAAAATGGGCAATAAGTACAGAAAAAGTTTTTAAATAGATTTGTTACTTTGTATTTTTACATATTTATTGTCCTTGAACCAATGTCTTTTTTTTGGTTTTCGCGTAATTTATTTTTGTTTTACATCCTATATTGCAAAAAATAAAACATGAATCAAAAATAAAAAAAATGTAAAAAATATTACGAAAAAATTATTATAAAGACGCATTATGTGAATGTTACAACTCTAATTATAAATTAGTTATTTTTATATCAAAATAAAATTTTATAAATTGCTTTTGGCTTTTGTTTTCTTTGTGTAATTTCATGAAGTTTCTCCATCTAAGAAAAATCTCCATTTATATAAAACAATTTTTTTTTATGTATATCAATTAATATATTCAACAATTTTCACCTCATAGTAACGAGATACGCATCACAAATCATTAGTAACCTGAGATAGGTAAAGGATATAATTAATTATTAAAAAAAATGCGGTAAAATCAACAGAGTTTTCGGTAACTTCGATTGAGTAAGTTAAAGTTTGCTGTTCATTTCTTTATGCCAGCACTTCACATGGCCATTCGTATTGGTTATTTGTAAATGCTACTGCTGTCAAAATTATAAATAGCTAGTTCTGATTTTGCCGGCTCGTTTAGGTTTGGATAGTTTTAGTGAAGGCATGCACACACACTTTACCAAACAAACACGTTTACACTCACAGAAATTTAGTTATCATGCTCCATTTATAATTTTGATTATTTTGGGTATTTATCGCAAAATAAATTTGAATATTTGTTGATATTTCTTTAATATTATTGTAAATTGAAATTTCTATCCTTCGTAATCGTTTCAATTTTTGAATTGAATACGAAGTGAGTTTCTGTACCTAATTCTCTAAAGTACCATTTAAAAGAATATATTAGATTATATTGAGTAAAGCGCTGTTGGAACTTGTTCATGATAAATAAATTAATTAATTAATAGCAAATACGAATAACCAAATGAAGTGCAGACATTACATTTTTCATTCGACAATTTTTGTAAAGATGACCTCTGTGGCCGAGTGGTTTGTTTGTACTCTTAGAGGGATCCCGGTGGGGGTAGATGTTTATATGATGAATACGAGCATATGTACTCCAGTCATGGATATTTAATATGAATTTTCATATAAATATAACTTATATATGTATCAGTATATGAATTTTATCCGTTATCCCAGTATCCCATAACAAAAACCTACAGTGCTTACTTTGGGGCTAGGCTCTCTGGTATGAGTGTTGGAAATATTATTTTATTTACTTGTAAGGAATTCATCGACGAGATCTATTCTTTTTTGTGTTATTTTCTATTGGGTATTATTGTAATTTCGAAAGTGCGATAAATGTATTAAATTAATCATCAAATCACTAAATCCAACATTTATATTCCCTAAAAATTCATACTAACTTTAGAAATGTATTATTAGTTCACGTTCAGCTTGATGTCATCAAAGCTTTATATCTAGATAAAGCTACAAGAGAAACTTTGTTTAGAGTCTGTTAATTTATTCATATTAAATGTCAGGATGAAGCTCAATAAAAGTCAACGGATGGGGGATCAAAACTTTCATACCGCACTTGGCTCGCGTTGTGGGTAATGGCTCAATCTTAAAATAAAAAAAAATATTAATAAAACGATAAAAAAAGCTAGAAGCCCAAACCGAAAGATTATTATTTTTATGTCAATATAAGAAAGGATAAAATAACTTATACCTAGTTGACTGCACCTAATGAATATAATACGTCCATACATAGACAATCTCAGTATTAACAGCCTTCTTTTGAGACTAGCGACTATCAAAAGAAATGCGGCGATATTCCGCAGGCCCCTTTCAAATCACAGTAAATATTGTGTCCCCGAGTATTTTTCGATCAACCAACCCCCGACTTGGCTAAGCAACAATAGTTTCGCCCCCGTTCCGATATCGTTGGCTCGCCGATTGTTTGTTCCCTTTTTATGCTCCGAACCGTCGGGAGCAAACGAACTGAAAATTTCCAGCTCAAATAAAAATATATTGATGAAGCAATCGATCCCGCACAAACCATTAAACTTTAAGCGTTCCGATAGAAAGTATCGGAAACAGCAATGGCGACGTGGTGGAATAATCTTTTAAAAACTATCATCTGGGCACAGTTCATTTGCGAACGGTCCATAACGGGATTTGTTTCAGTTCGATCTACAATGTCTGTGGAAGTTTTGCTGTGGAAAGTTTTTTGTTCCTTTATGAAGGGATCGTGTAAGTATTGTTCTTTTATATGGCGTAACAATACAAATGAGTATGAGGAAAACAATTATTATACGTTGTGTTATAATTTAAATATAAGAAACCGGCCAAGGTTGAAACGGATTCGCACACGACGGGTTTTCTATAATATAAATAAAATTATATACTAAAGGAGTTTAAATTATTTTTATTTATAAAATCGGACACGAAACACTAAAAAACACAGTCATGACTAGTGTTGTCAGGTGTTCCGATTTGCGCGGGACGTCCCGATTTTCAAGGGTCTGGGGACGCGTCCCGATTTGTACCTGATCGGGACGCTAAATGTCCCGATTAATCAAAAAATTAAATTTAGGTAATTATTATAATCTTATACTTGCGCTAGTAGTTTAAAACGCAATAAATTAAACCCCGACTTAAAAACGCCTTGTCTTTTGTTAATTGTCCCGATCTGCAACCCTAAATCTCAATTTTTTCGGCCTCATGTACCGATTTAAAACAAATCGGACCTGGCAACACTAGTCAGGACACACATGTATCTTTCTATTATAAAACCTCTTGGGTATTTTCTTTATAATTTTCAATCAAATATTGACAAACATTTAATTTAGTTGACTTCCCTGAGCGCGGCCATTAGTAGCATTTACAATAGATAAACCTTAGCAGTTTGTATATGATGATTAAATCATTAATAACATTTTGTACTTAATAAAATCTGAGTTTGCACGTAGACCGCTCGAGTTAAAGTCGTAAATTAAACCACAATATTATGAGAGCGTGAAATTTATGTCGCTTAGCATCCGCTCGCTCCTGTAATAAATTTTCTATTGTATATTACTATACCAAAATATTGCAAACACCAAAATATAAAAAGTAGCATTCGCGAGAAGTTTATTTTTATAATTCGAAGGAAATTTTTGAAATTAATGCTGTTAGGTACTTTATTTGACGATGTAGGTAAACCTTTTCCTGTATTAAATTATAACCATTATAGGATTTAACCCCTGGAATAAAAAATCTTAGCGATGGGTAAATCAAATTGATCCCTGTATAAATATTTTTTTTACTATGTAAATAATATTAACTATTTATATTAAAAAGACGAATTGAAACGATCTTTTTTATTCTCATTTATTAAGTCACATAAAAAGTTTATAATAGGAAGCCTTAACAGCATCTGAATCCTACCATTACAAATCTTAAACTTGTGTATGTGCGAGTAAGTATGAATGCTTTGTAAATTAAGATTTAACAGTTTGTAGTTCGTCTAACTTGCATTGCATTATAAAAGTTAGAAAAAATAATAAATTTACGACATTCTTATATTACAGAAGTTTATAATACGGTACATAAGGTATGGAAAACAATATCATATGTTAATCACCACTAATAAAGGCAAACTAATGGAGTGAGAGCACAAAAAATCTATAGAGATCAATTATAAACAAACTTTATACGAAGGTTGTTGTTGTTAACCCTTCATAAGTAACGCTTAACACGTTTTTTTTTATAAAAATGAACAAGATAAACTCCTTGGGAGTTTATCTTGTTCATCTTTACAAACTGCCACCCTGCGGCGTCCACTGTACTCGACGCGATTTTGAATGTTTTAAATGCGTATTTAAGTAGCTATTAATATTATAATACCTTGAGTCTACGCGAAATTGCAATAAAATATAAAATGCCAATATTCGATTTTAATATTTCCCGGTAATTTGGCGCATCCGTTCACCACCGTAACCATACAGCACACTGAATATTTACGTATACCTTCTATGCACTGCTTAAATGCTCCTACCTCCGTCCAAACTTATGTTTAAATTGATTCTGCATAATACGATTTATTTCTACAAAGTTACGTCCCTCAAATTTAAAAAGAGATATGTTAGTTCCGGATACTGTAGGTACTGTATATCAATAATATTCATCCTGCTAGTCCACCTGCTTCCAGGTACACCAGCACTCTTCTCTTTGGAGTAGTACATACCTATGTAGTACCTGTAGGTACCTATAATTACTTATTTATGTTCAAAGCTTGATCGTTATTTTTGAGTTTTACACAGATCAGTCGGGTAGACAGGGAAGTTCTTTTTTTATTATATTTTAAAGTTTACATTGGTCCGTACCTTTTTGTCTTAATATTTTTATTTATTAAAGTCATGATCATATTTAAGATAACTTTTTTAGCTCGGCTGGTCTGGAATTTCAAGAGTACCGGTGGGATTCGAGCTTGGTTGTCCTTTGACCCTGTAATTTACGGGCCCAACGACCATATAGTCGTACTCTGTGTACATCGTCGACAACGGAGTCGAAGAGATCCACCAAGGATAACTTAGAATACTGTCTGTTCCGGTGTCTTGCCTGATGCTGGTACTGCCAAGAGATGTCCAATGGCGATCTGTAAGGTTTTTAGTGGGTAGGCTTATGATCAGACACTGAGATTGGCCGCAAGTCTAAGTGTATTATTCATTTTCGCAATGTAAAAGTTAGTCAGGTTAATGTGGGTATCCATAATAAATCCTTGTATAAAGGTAATCTGAAAGCAATACAAGCCACCCAGCCTTGTTGTACCTAGGAAAGATAATAATAGTTAGACAATAAGAAAAGTTGGTGTAAATAGATTAATTCGAAGTAGGTAGGCTCGAAACTCAAGCTCGAAATAAAGAATAAAAATATGTAATGGAAAAAGACTTCATGAATTATCTCTGTCCTCATTTTTTAATTTGATGACTCTGAAACCTACAGGGTAAAAAAACAAGCTCTTGCTGAGTTTCTTGCCGCTTCTTAGTACAAGGCCCCCCGCCGTAGATTTGTATGGGGTACGTACACAAGTGCCTGAAAGCCTGAACTGAATAAAAGATCTCTCCAAAACATTTTCATGGAAAATGTTGCCAAGACGGGATCATGTATCACTCGTACGACAAAAAGTTATCAGATCGCAAGTACAGAAATGTTTCTATCGGGAAAACAAAT